ATTTTCTAATTAAAAGAGTATAATAATATAACATAATGATATATATATTTGTGAAGTAATTTTTCGCCTTTGAACCCACACGTTAAATTAAATTTATTTTATATTTTATAAAGTATAACATTAAACATGAATTAGTCATAATAAAATAAAAGATCATTCAAAAAGAAAAAAAATACGTTGTTGACACAATAAATTCAAATATATTGTATTATTATCCAAACTAATATTATTCTTTCTGTAAGATCAATTTTTGAATGCATATTTATTGATTCAATTTATCAAATTGAAAGATAAGTTTCTATATTTTTTTATCAATTGAGAAGAAATAAAACAGATTTTAGATTTTGTTTTCAAAGTTTTAAAGGGAAAAATAAATTTTTTTAATTTATGAATAATTTTATCATGTAAAAACGTTTAATGTTCTAGGTCTAATTTTTGGGATGAAAATAATCATTTATTTTGATGATTTTTTTAAATTGTTTTAAAAATAATTAAGCCCGCATGTGCGGGCAAAACACCTAGTATTAGTTTACAACTAAACAACCGTAAGATTTCGTCAATTTAACAAAATCGGGTCATACCCAATTTCATCGGATAAAATCAATTGATACAAAGCATATCTTAAAAAAAATGCAGTGGCAAAGATCTGTAAATACTTCCAAAAATTAAGGGGACCTCAAAAAAAGACCTTGTGTTTTAATAGTATAGATGTTTGTTTAAAAATTGTCATATACGGTTTCACATCGAATTTTATATTGTGGTTGGAAAAATCTTGCAAATTACAAAATGAGTTAACTTAGATTTGGAGACAAGGATTGATAAACCTGAAAAAAGAGCTAAGAGAAGTTGCGGCTTTCGAGATCTATCTCAGCTTCGGTTGTACCAGACCACTCTATCTCAGCTTAGAAGCTTCACTTCCCTGCTCGGCGAATTTCAAGATTCTATATCCATGCATGCAAACATTCGAGTCAAGGAGAGTGAGCAACCGTTGCTACAAACACAAGTCTCCGGTCTCATTTTAGCTGCCAAATCTTGATTTTACCAGCTTTTTTTTTGGGTTCTTATCTTACAGGTTGACATTCTCGTTATCCAACAGTGCGTTGAGAGTCATCATTTCACAGTCGTTTAGTAGATGATTTAGAATCTTAGATTGTTATGTATTTGCTTCACATGAGAAGATACTAAGGTTTCTTGAATGTTACAACCTCTCACTTGTAGAATTGCTAGATGCATCGCTGAAATGTTCAAAATGAACACTAAAGACTCTGTAGAGGAATCTCATAGAAAGCCGAGAACTCCTTCAGTTTGTTAGACATGCTTGTGGGCTTTATTCATTAGAAAATAGTTTTTTTTTTTAAATCTCTCCTAGTCTTAAGTTGATTAAACTCTCTCTCTCTCTCTCAAACTGACATCATCTTTGGCTGATTAATCCCTTTCTTACTCTGTCCTCTTCTTCATACTCACTATACCCTTTTGTTTGCTTGTTTTTCATCAGAGCAAGTATCAGGGTTAGCTTCCCTTATGCAGCTTCAACTTTTTCATACATTCTTTCATCATCAATCCATGTAAGCTAGGGCCGGTCTTTGGCATAGGCCAGTGAAGCATTGGCCTATGGCTCACAAAATTTTTGAAAAAAATTTACATAAAAATAGGCTCCAAAATTTGTAAAACAAAATTTTTACTACTATGACCTCCAAAATCTTAGGACTAGTCCTAAATGTAGCAGAGGTAGAAATTCTAGAATCTTCTCTTACATTTACTATCGACAAGGTATGGGTATCACTAGCGATGAGGAGCTTGTTTCCTTGATTTCTTCTCTGTTCATGTCTCATATCCTGAAAAAGATTTAAGAGAAGTTGCGGCTCACGAGATCTCGCTCTATTCGGTTGTAATAGACAACTCTAGATTAACATTTAGACCCAAAAAGAAAAAAAACTCTAGCTCAGCTCATAAGCGCCACTCCCCTGCTCGGCGAATTTCAAGACTCTATATCCATGTTTAACATTGGAGTGAAGGAAAGCGAGCAACCGTTGCTAGAAACAAAGTCTCTGGTAACGTTTTAACTGCTAAATCGTGCGGAAATGATGTTTCCATATAACAAAACAAAGACAATTTATCATCTTATGTTTCAGGTTTGACGTTTTGGTTCTAAAATCTTGATTTTTTCTTGATTGTGTTGACATGCTCCAAGTCATTTCAAATAGACCTCTGTATCAAAACATTTTCAGAGCGGTTCTACCACGGCTCTGTCCTATTCGAAGAGCCAGGCACGAGTGTCCTTGCTTACATATCTCGGAAAATTTGAAACGCATATTCTATATTATAGTAAATGTAGGATATGATGATGAAATTCTTAGTGAAGGCCCTGAAACACACCAAGTCTTGTGTATTTTGGTGATCAATGTGACACAGGAACCGACAGAGATTAAATAATGAGTTTTAGTAGCTCAGAGCGTCATCATTTTGTCTTTGTTTATAGAAAGAAGGATACTTGCAAAGTCCCACATTGGTAAGATAGAGAGGCAGTTGTCATAAACTTGGATTATAAATAAGAAGCTGAGCTTTCTTGGCAAATCATACCTTTCTCAGCCTTTTGGCTAAGATCAAGTGTAGTATCTGTTCTTATCAATTTAATATCTGATATATGGTCCATTAGATCATTCGATATTAATTCTATTTTTTAGGATAAAAATCCATGAAGATAGCTTACTATCTGGATTTGGCTCAACCCACCAAAATTTAGTTCAATTTTAACCTGTTTCGAACGATAAGGTTTGTTCATATAAGGATATCCCATTAACCAGTTTTTTTTATAAACGTAGCAGGTTTGGGTTTAGTTAAGTGTTTTAGTAATAAAACCCATCAATTAAAGATGTATCTTAAAAAAAACCTCAACTAAAGATTTAATGAAATAAACCCTCAATTTTAGTTTCGTTAATGTCTGTCACCCTCCGTCACAGAATTTTAGACGGAGAGTGACATATGTTAACAAAACTAAAGTTGAGGATTTATTTTATTAAATCTTTAATTGAAGGTTTTTTTTACAATTCATCTTTAGTTGAGAGAATTTACTACTAAATGCGATTAAATATTTTAAAATCTTATTATCATTTATTCATTATTTAAGAATCTTACAATTGATTTATAAACATTTAAAATAATTTATATTTCTTTATATATTACTTTATCAATTTTATAACCTATTTGCTAGAAATCCAAACTACTTTATTTCAGTACATAACCAATGCCTTGGACTTTTTCTATGGAAATTGCTAAGTTATACATTCAGAATAACTTGTAGTCATTAGATCTGTTGTAGCACACTGGTTAACAATGATAAGCTTTTCTGGGTTCAAAGCCCGGCAGCGGAAAATCATTTTTTAAAAAAAAAGTTAACGACCCAGTTTCTGCATTTGTAGATACAATTGAGGCTGGACACTTGTTTCTTTGATTTCTGTTCTGTTCATGTCTCATATCCTGAAGAAGAGTTAAGAGAAGTTGCAGCTCACGAGATCTCGCTCTATTAGGTTGTAATAAACAACTTTAGATTAACATTTAGACCCAAAAACCGGGTGATTGTGGTCGAGTGGTAAGGAGACTGGGTTGAGACACCAACATGTTTCAGATTCGATCCACCTGCTGCGCGAAACTAAGTCACAATTATCTTGGTCACCTAACACGGATATGGACCTATGTTTTAGGGCCCATTTGAATACCTGGAGAGAGGGTCTATCCGTAGGCTGCACCTCCCCTTGGGGATTAGTCTAGACTTCTCCCTGGACCTAGGATAATCAAAAAAAAAACATTTAGACCAAAAAAAAAAAAAAAGTACTCTAGTTCAGCTCATAAGCGCCACTCCCCTGCTCGGCGAATTTCAAAGACTCTATATCCATGCTTAACCTTGGTATCATTTTAGCTGCTAAATCGTGCGGAAATGATGTTCTAAAATCTTGTTATTTTCTTGATTGCGTTGAGGGAGATCAGACCACTGCTCTGTCCTATTCGAAGAGCCAGGCACGAGTGTGCTTTCTTACATATCTCGGAAAATTTGAAACTCATATTCTATAATATAAGGTAAAGGCAGAGTTATATAAGCTATGCAAATTCATATTCTGAGTTAACGTAGCCACGTTCACGCTATACTCATGTATAGTGTCTCATGTATATTCACTTCACATGAGAGGATACTAAAGTTTGTTGAATGTTACAATCTCTCACTTTTAAATTGACAAAAGGATACTCTGAAACTCTACACCTGTTGAGTTCTGTCCTGATCATATCTCTGGAAGTGTCCTAGAAAAGCTTAACGCCGAGGTAACAGGATTCAACTCCTTTTTCTTTACTCCGTTCTCTTCCTTGCACTCACTAAAATCCTTTTGTTTCTCATCAGAGTATTTCAAAACACTTTCAGAGTGTACTTGCTTACATATCTCGGAAATTTGAAACTCATATTCTATAATATAGTAAATGTAGGATATGATGATGAAATTCTTAGTGAAGGCCCTGAAACACACCAAGTCTTGTGTATTTTGGTGATCAATGTGACAAAGGAACCGACAGAGATAAAATAATGAGTTTAGTGTAGCTCAGAACATCATCGTTTTGTCTTTGTTTATAGAAAGAAGGATACTTACAAACTCCCACATTGGTAAGATAGAGAGGCAGTTGTCATAAGCTTGGATTATAAATAAACAGCTGAGCTTTCTTGGCAAATCATACCTTTCTCGGCCTTTTGGCTAAGATCAAGTGTAGTATCTGTTCTTATCAGTTTAATATCTGATATATGGTCCATCGGGTCATTCGATATTAACTCTATTTTCTTAGGGTGAAATCCATGAAGATAGCTTGCTATCTGGATTTTTGTGAGTCATCCATGCATTGCACTATAGCACGGATTTGGCTTAACCCACCAAACTTAGTTCAATTTTAACTTGTTCCGGCCTGTATTAACCAGTTTTTTATAAACGTAGCAGGTTTGGGTTTAGTTAATAGATGATAGTGTTTAATAGATCATAGAAGCGTATGTATACATATAATATGACCAGTTGTAAATCAGAGATAATGGCACTTAACTATCATCCAGAAATATAACCTTTCGTGAGATATTAAGTACATCTGAGATTCTCTTTCTGTAGTAAACCTTGTCTCTTAAGAAAAAACCAGAACTCTGCTGTTTCAGACACAATTCCAAAATGAGCATTCACCAGTGATCCCCATATGCAGATTTCTCAATTGCTCTGAGGTATTTAGCCACCTGAATCATGCTAGTCAATGGGTCTACTCCTAAACTGCATCCTATGCATCTCAACGCTAATCTAAAAAACTCTTTCACCGGTGAAACAACCACATTGCTAACATCTGAATCCATAACCTCTGCATACCCAAACTTCCTTAGCACCTTGGAAACATGAAGGTGAAGAGGGAAACAAGCATCATCATGAGGTTTAATGAATAACTCAGCCAATGCTCTCAGCATATCCGAGGACAAAGATAGCTCATCATCTACTTCCTTTACCTGGACAAGAGCTAGCATGAAGGCTCCAAAGCTATGCATATCCGTCTTTGTGGTGACCTTACCGGTTGCCTTGTATTCAGGATCAATGACAGGTAAGTAACACACACCAAGTCCATGTGCTTGCTTTAAGGTGCTGGTCCTAAACTCATGGTACTTCTTCAATGAATCATCATGAATAAACTCCTCTCCTTCGGGAATATAGACACAGTAACAGAAATTCCCAAGCTTTGCGATTCCATTTCCATCTAAGTAAACGGTGAAAGGATCTAGACTCGAGTGGATGAAAGCTCTTGAGAATGCAGTGTGAAGGTAAGTCAAAGCGTTTGCGACCTCTCTTGCTATCTTTATCCTCGTCATGTTACTCGGGTTAGATGCCGCTAGTGGACCAAGAGTTATAATCTCTGCATACTCAAAAACTAAGACAGGAGGAGTGAACTCAAGACAACATCCCAACAACTTAAGGAAGTTCTTGTGACCACTCACCATTGATGATATCGCTATGTCTCGACAAATCTCTTTCTTATCAAGATTGTATTTCCCTTTCTTGATGAGCACAGGACGGTCATCGAGGATACCTTTATAGCAACGGTAATAGATGTCAATGCGGGAAGCACGGTTACTTTGGGAGAAGTTATTCGTTGCTTTGATGATCTGATCAGAAGAGAAGTTCTTGATAGGATTACATTTTCCATCACAACACTCAATGAGCTCCTTTAGAACAACCTCGCCATTCTCTTTGACGTTCCTCTGCCTTTTCTTGGCTCCAATTCCGTTTGTTCTCAACCAATTCATCTTAAAGACTCTACTCAACCAGTCTCAAACAGCTAAAAAACAAAGAGAGAATTGTTCAAGTCACTGGTTTTGCAATGGAGAAAAGTAGATTGGGTTTCTAACGAATCTAATCAGATGTCCCACAAAACCGCCATCTAGATCTCGAATGTATACACAACAAGAGTGGGACTAATGAACACCAAAGATGAAAGAGAAACATGTAGACAAGAACTGGACTCTGAACCACAATAATGTCTATGAAATTGTAAATTCAGAATCAAGATCGTACCTCAGAAGCGAGAGTGCCATGAATGCTACAGAATAAGAGAACGAAGTCATATCAAAACTGATTACTGTCTGTAATAGACTTTAAGTTTATTTACCGAATAAAATGGGTCTGGTCAACAGAAGCGTGTTCACACTTTTGTCGGCCAAAGAAAAAGAGTTGAGTCTCAGGATCGATATGCCTCAGATAAAGACGACCTTACAGCTCTTTGTGTTCTTAATCAGAAAGAAAGTCTTCACTGACATATATGGAAGTGTGTTCTTAAATTTAAAATTCTAAAATTTTGTGTTTTTGAAAGATAATCGGAGTCGTCTCGTTTCGCAAACTTATTAATAGAGTAGACTGTACAGATTTGCAGTTTTTTATAACTCATTCATCTGAGACTCTTAATTACTCTCTTGTTACTCTGATGGACAATCAATTCACATACGGGTTGAGGCACTCTTCCATACATTTTCACTCAATCCATCTTTCTACACAAAATCTCAGAACCAATTTCAACATAACTGTTTGTTAACCATTTGTTTGTTTTAATATATTACTCTTTCGAAGAGGTTTGTTTTCAAAAATAAAAGAAGAGGTTTGTTTTCCGTTTTCTCGGCCGTATGTCTGATTAGTTTATGCTTCTTTAATTTTTTGATCTTCCTTCTTTTTAAGTATACCTATTTATTTCTGCAATTTTTTCTTTTCACTGCTTGTGACTATTTGAATATCTTTGGTCTCTGATTTTTGTACTTTCTCCCAGTTTTTGAATTGCAGTCTACTCGATTTTTATTGTTTCATATTTATTTCTTAATTCTGTTTCATCAGTGATTGGTTCGTGACGTTACGCAAGAAATGATATGAGGATCGCGAATAACTTACGTATATATTCTTAACTTGTCTGTGCATGCGTTTAAGTGGGGGAGCTTGTACTTGAAGAACAAGTGGAAAGTTGCCAAGTTTCGATGAGTAGTCAATATTTACAAGTGTTTAAAATCATTAGGTTACACTACAGATATAAATTCGTCATAATATGATCTATGTAGTTAATGTATTTATCTCAGATATCAATCTCACTAATTGCGCAGAACTTTTTTTCTTCACCATTTTATTTGATTAGTGAAATTTATGTTTCGAGAAGGCATATACATAAGCTATTTATAGTTTTTCAAAAATTTGATTAAAAGGTCACATCTTTTCAATTTAAAAATTGTTCATTTTGAAATAATACTGATATAAAAATTCATAATTTTTCAATATAAATGTTCATATTCTTTCAATAAAGAGTTATTTTAAAATAAAGAGACAGAACTTTTAATTGTTTAAAACACATAACCTTTCAAATTAAATGACGTTCACAACTTTTGAAATTAATCAGGATTACTATTATTAATAGATTAATATTATTAACTACTGTATAAAAGAAACATTGATGTAAGAAAAAGACTCATTCTCACTTGTTCTCTCTCTTAATCATATCCCTCGTGGTATATGTGGTGAAATCCTGGAAACTCAAAACTCCCTCACACTCCATCATTCAGCCATGCATGGAGATGGATGTGAAAAGAGTTTGAAGAAAGTTTGTTGTGGTCAAGATCAAGAAACAAGCACGTTAAAGAAATTTTATCATTCACATCAAAACTGCACAAATCATGTAAAAGTAAGAGTGGTTTTACGCTTCAATTAAAGAAATGTGGGAGTGAACGATTGTTTACGCTGATCATGAAATGACTAAGATCTAGTTGAGGTGAGTACGTTGTAGCTTCTAAGTAATGTATGCTCACATATTAATAAGAAGATTAAATTAAGGTGCATACCTTAGTGCTTTGAATAGTGCTTTGAATTTGCCCGTGGAACAAGTTGGTTATTGTATACGAGTTTGATTATTCACGAATGAGTTAGGGGTAAACATTGTTTTAATTTGACTGATCACTCATTTTTGGGATAATTATAAAAAAAAATTGGGAGACAAAACCATTTGCAAAAATTAATAATACTGACTGAATAGTAATATTCAACAAATAGCCTAGCTAGTGTTGTTTTAGTTTAACAATCAATTGCTAACAATCCACTTGTGTTACGAACTTGAGGATCCACCAGATCCACCACTTTTATACTTTGGATCTTTGGACTGGAGTCCATTTCATGTTTACTGCTATATTTTTTTTTGAAGCTTCTTCAATTTATACTATCCACTAATTGGAGATCAATGTGTTTTTCCGTTTCAATGGCAATCATCAGAGCTATCCCCAATCTTAAAAAAAAAAAAAAAAGATTGAGGATAGCTCTGATGATTGCAATTGAAACGGAAAAACTTTACCCAATCTTATAACTCAACTTTTAGCTTATATATTGGTATTTCTTTTCATCATTCTTTTAAGGTTTGTGTAGATTTTTTTTATGGTTCTGCAATTTTTTTGATCTTTGCTGGTTTTTGACTTTGGAAAGAAAAAGTTCCTCGCCAGTTTAGGTATATATAAGCCATGTTCGTTTAGTCAACGTCGCGATCACACTAGCGTCTGAAATTTAAAGGGAGAATTAGAGAAGAGTTCCATGTTCAGTAGACGCAGCGATCAACACTTCCATGTTTTTCAGTTGCAGGGAAGAGAGAGAAAAGATAAACAGTGACGCTAGTTATTTCCGCGTCACAAACATCACCGGATTCCATCGATTACTGTGACGCGCGTTCTTTGTTTTTCTTCACCAACGTCCAGTGCAGAAGAAAATTACAAACAAATTTCAGACGCTAGTGTTAATAGCGGCGTTTAATAAACGAACAGGGCTATAGTTATTCCCTTGTTTTAATTTAATCTTCGTTTTACAAAAGAAAAAAAAATTAAAAGCCAAAAACCAATTGACAAAAAAAGAAAACAAACCACCGTCAAAGGGATTGTAGTCATATCATTAAGATAATAGGCCTATTTACTTCCAATAAGTTGTAATTCCACCTGTCTGGTTACAAAACGTGACCTGGAAAATAGCTTTTTTAACAATAATAATTACATGTGAATATGTAATAGTTTGACAAATTTGGTTACATATTACATATTCACATGTGAATATGTAATAGTTAATAGTTTGACAAAATTAGTTTTAAAAAATCATATGTAATGGTTACATATTACATGTGAATATGTAATAGTTTGACAAATTTTGTTTTGGTTATCATAAGTACCACAGCCATTTCCTTCTTAACCATTACATATTCACATGTAATATGTATCAATTATTTTTCTAACAATAATAATTTTCTTTGTTTGTTGACAAAAAAAACCTTTATTCAATAATATTAGATTTTTTAGTCATCGGTTAATTATGGTATTACAATTTATGAAAAATATTACAAAGACGATACTATTGTTGTGAAGATTCACGTTTGACATCATCATGAGTGAACCGCCTTATGAAATCCATGTCTGGCGGTATTCCTTGCATTTTTTATAAGTTTTTTTTTCTAATATTCTGCATAATTCGATTTTTTCAGGTAATAAAATTCAAACCCCTTAATGTACAAACATTAATGAATCCTTGATCAAATAATTGGACCAATATAGTTTTCACAAACGAGAAGAACCAAATAAACACCAAATCTATAACGAAAACGAGATTATTATGGACTTTCAATAAGGAAAACGAAAAGAACAAGTAAACACCAAATCTATCATTATAAGGAAACAATGTATTTTTATCAAAACGAAAAAATGTATACATAATGATATTCTTTTGAAAATTAGTGGGAGAAAACAAAACTTGTTATAAAATATATTTTTCTCAAGTAAAATGAAAATAAGATAACAAAAAAAAAAGAATCAAACCTGACCCTTAAGTGACCAATCAGAATCGACCGCGCCTAGTCTTTCCTGATTTTACCCACCTTATACCTCCCTCTCACTCTTCTCTAAACTCTCCAACTTCATTCTCCATCTTCCCGGCGTGTCTCCTCTCTTTCTTCTTTCATCAATGGACACCACAAACTATCTCCACCACCACCACCACTCTTCTTACCAACACCACCAAGGAACTAAATCATCATATTCCTTCTGATCAGGTCTGTGATGTTTCAGGTTCATGACGCAGTCTACGATTAGCATATAGAGAGTCCAACATGAAGCGGTTTGGAGGAGCCTGGATCGGATATACTTCCCAGACCAGACGTGCATACGGGCATGTGAATAGAATGTGATTCACTGTCTCACTGTCCATAGAGCATTTTCCACAGCTTCCATCTTTGGCTATATGTCGTTTGTGCATGTTGATGCAGCTGGGAGAGAGTCGCTGATGCATTTCCATAGAAAGTGATGAACCTTCGGGCTTGCTTGAAGCTTCCATATTTGTTGATATAGTTCATTAAAGCTCGGCTGCTCGACTTTCCAAGAAGTGTGGTCTGTACTGATGTAGTTTCTTTGGACCCAGTTATTAATCAAAACGACAAAGCATCATCAATGGACATCAAAGGAAAAGGAAAGATGGGCCTGGAAGAGAGTCATCACATAAGAAAGGAGACGATCCCACCTGAAACAGAAACAACAGTGCAACGTTAGTTTTGAATCAAGAAAAGAAATCTAAAAGCATAGTACAGATGACGTCGCAGTGCATAGAAAGTAAAACGTGAAGATGTACAATCGGCTCTCCACCCTTGATTCTGAAACTGAATGAGATGTTGCCATCTGGCCATGTAACAAGTGTTTTTGTTGGGGTCAAAATTGGTACGACGGAATCAACGACCAAAACTTTTCGCAAAAATAAAAATATGTTTTATAAAACTCGTAAATCCGTTTTATAAATACTAAGAAATTTCCGAACAAAGGAAATGCGCGTAAAAACTTGGAAATCATTATTTCGGAAAAACAAACGAAACAAATGCCGATTACACGATTATCCGAGTTAAGCGCAAAACCGCAAAAAACCACATCCGCCGTAAGACCGCGAGCAGGTTTGACCGAACCGAGTTCGACGTACGACGAGCCGAACCAACCGGTTCAGCTCGCTGTACGGCGAGTTAGGTGGCACCGAGCCAGATCGCCGTACGGCGAGCTAG